TTCAGGGGCGCTATTGGCCCTGAGTTCATATTTATGGACGACAATGCGTGACCACATAGGGCTCTCGTGATTGATGAGTATCTGGAAAGCGAGGATATTCAACGAATGGATTAGCCAGCCAAATCCCCTGACCTGAATCCTATTGAACATGCTTGGGATGCTCTTGGAAGAGCTATTGCGATGCGCCAACCTCCCCCCAGAACCATTCTGGAGTTAAAAATTAATGAATGGGAGGGTCTTCCACAAGTCCTCCTTAGCTCCCTTATTAACAGCATGCATACTCGTTGTGCATGCTGTCTGTCTGTCAGGGGTTACCATACACTATACTAGAGGCAACACACACTGTACTAACCTCACTTTTATTGTCATCTTTTATCCTTAAGTTCAGACTACATTGGATTTATTGGCAATAGGTCTTGCCAGTGAATGGCACTTTCATTTTTGTTTTGCATACTTTATTATCATGGAATAAGCTATATCCATACCAATTTTTATTTATTTATATTCAGTATTTTTTGAGATATTTGGGAAAGTGTCTTCCATCTCTTAATTTTGTCCACCAGTGTATAATACAAATTCGACGATTGGATACATTAGACGATATGTTATATAAATATAGAATATTTATTATATCAGATATTATATGAGTATATTATAATAATAAGACTAAATTATTGGACGCACTGCAGTTTTTTAATAATGACATGTTTTGCACGAGTTTATAGGCAATACTTTTATATTTAAACATACATGTAATGGGTTTTTATTAAGGAGATTTTTCATATATTTCCCATTTGTATTTATTCTTAACGTATTGCATTACAATGTATACCAATTGATACACGAACATAAACAAGTGCAAACCTGTTTCAACCGCATAAAAACAATGAAGTTCTATAGCATCTCCTGATTATTAAGATTTTACATAGAATCATATAGTGCGTCTACTAATTTGGCCAGGGACTGCATTGAGTAAAATTTCATGCGAGTTCCTGAAAGAAACAATTTTTTTACCTTGGATCCGTTTGAGGCTTGATGGCAATTTTATCTTTCATCCAAGTGATCGAAATAGGTTTGTCTCCAATCGCTTCACATTTCAGTCGTGTCTTGTGATTTTTATGAACCATTTCAGCAGTGAATTTAGATAAAAAATGGGCAGCAACTGAAAAAAAAAGTTTACAAATAAATTGTATTTCAACCTTCTTGCATTTAATTTTTACATAAATTTCATCCATCACATCCTAATGTCAACCTTAAGACAACTACTCATTTGATAGTTTATTTACAAGTAATCAACACCCGAACGAGTACATCTTAAATCAGTGATTTTGTAGCGAGATTTTGATCTACATGGATCAGATAATTTGAATCTCTCATCAGGGGGTTCACGCTGATATCAGGGGGTCGCTCATCCCCTAAGATCTTGAATCCGGTCACCCTTCTAGAAATTCAACACTAATTAGAGAATAATCATCGACAGCAATTTTAAGAACATTAGCCGTGTGTAGTGTTCTAGATTGAAAAGTATGTTCATTTTGATTTTATCTGGATATTAAGAACATTAACTTACATGCTCATTTTAAAGCAACAGTATCTAAGTTTTACACATTGACAGGGGCGATAGTGGGCCCAACTCAAAAATCCTGAAAATTTCTTGAGTAAAATCATTCAAAAAATTAATATCTTTATAAATTTAGGTCATTGAAATTTTCAAAACATGATATTCTAAATAAATTATATGCAGCATTATTTAAATGAATAATTATGTGTAAGCTTACTTTTATCTCTAATCACATTTATTATTCTACCAGAAAAAATATTTACAAATGAAAGAGATGCCAAGTGCCAAGTTATAAATTGTAGTTCTAATATTTTTAAATAAAATATACAATAATTTTTATATATAAATGTGATCGATGATTTCTTAAAACTTCTGGACTAAAAATCCGGAAGTCCGGATTTTTTCCGGAGCACAATCACCTATGCATTACAATAATTACGCCTTAGATAGCATTTAAAAAAATCTTTAAGAGTCAGGGCCCAACTTAGCCTAATTGGGGCACAGGGCAAAAACTTTTTTGAGGCCGCCCTCAGCTTCACTACTTCAGTAATGAAGAACCAAACTTTATGGAGGTACTAGGACACCTCATTATAAACAACAAGAAAATTTACTAGAACCTAAAATAGCTATAAAGACCCCCCCCCCAATGGCAGACAAAACGTCGCTCTGTCCATTTTATTGATTTATTGACAATTCTATGTCCATCATGCTGATTTCAGTTTTCTGATTGCTAACTTTGTTCATCTATATGCGAAAAATTCGTATCCTTGCTGACATTAGGGCGGAATTCAGCTAAAATTTCGCAATTGCGATGGCTTAATTAAGCCAATCAAAAGCCTGTATTTTTGTATGTAAATCTTCTATTCAATTTGGAGCCCCCTCTGAAGCGGGGGCCCGAGGCAAATTCCCTGTATGCCCCTACCACAGTCAGGCTGTGATAAGAGTGTATTTTATTCCTATTAATCTGCAACTTTAAGCAATTAGATTGTCATGCTTCAGACTTAGATGTGTGGATAGTTAATACTCTGTAGAATAGCGTGGGTCAAGCTTCCGTTCTTACTTTCGCTTCACACCCGGGTAATTCAGTTTCAAAATCTGGAAATGAATCGGATGCAATCCATGACTCCTTGGACTGTTAAGTTCCCAAAAGATAGTTCATTTACGAGTACACAACGTACAAATATGGGTAATACATGGAAAGATGCATACAGCCATCAAGTTTTTGGTACAGACGACAAATGGTAACTACTATCAACAATATTCCAGTCCCGTTCATATTTTCAATAACATATTTCTTTAAACGTTTATTACAACATTCTTGGCACTGGGCCAACATGTACCCCCGTGTTTGCAGCGTTCTTGGGATTGGGGGTACATGAATTTGAATTGGGGGTACATCTATTGCTTGGTCTTTTTTTATGAATGCCCACCACAATACTGTTTAGCTGCTTTTCTGATCAGTGTGAGCCAAACTGTTATTTATTTTGTGGCTTTTATTTACATGAATGGCCACCAGAAGACTGTTTAGCAGCTCTTCTGACTTGTCTGAGCCAAACTGTTGCTTATTTTGTGGCTTTTTTTTCAATGAATAGCCACCACAAGACTATTTAGCCGCTTCTCTGATCCATCTGAGCGAAGCTTTTTTTCTATAAATAGCCGCCACAAGACTGTTTAGTCGCGAATCTGATTTATCTGAGCAAAACCGTCTCTTTTGTGGCCTTTTTCCTATAAATAGCCACCACAATCTCGACTGTAGAGCTTTTTGTGGGATTTCGATCACCATGAGCGAAGAGACACCTAATAAGGAACTGACTTTTTGCGCTTCTGTTTCTTCCTTTCGTTGTTCTCTTTTATTTTTTATCCTGCAATTGCAAATAAATAAAAAAAATGCACACTTTCCACCAGAATAAATTCAATATAGATTAAAAAATTCCTCACGTACATTCACTGTTACGAGAAAAGAAATATTTCGATCCATTAAAAACAATCAAAAACACATAATATTGCTTTGCCATAAACGAGGTAAAGTTTATTTAGTTTCCGTTCTAAAAAATCTCAAAAGAAAAAATTTTTTTTTGAAGAAAAAGAAATAAATACTTTGAAAATAACCCCTCAACACATTCCTTACTTTCAGTTCCCCATACATAAATGCGTGCATATTATCTTCGACGGTTGAAGAGAAAAAAAAATTATACTTCTTATACGCTTTCGCTGTGATTCGGTTAAAAGTTCTAAACAACAAAAAAATAATTTTTTTTTCCGAACGGAACGTTAAAAAAATCGGTAAACGACGATTTAATGACCTTTCTTTCTGCTTCTTTTTTTAATACTTTTTTTGTTGCATTTCAGAGTCTTTTCTTAAAAGTATGCCAGACAGTTAAAAAAGTTTAAAAAAAACAAACTTTTCTAACGCTCCAAGGCAGAAAAACTGACAAGATTCTGCGTATCTTAAACTTTAAATAAAAACCGCCAACGACGGCAAAATAGTCTCTATAGCTTTGTTAATGAACCGAGATATAGTAATCTGAACTAAAAAAAAAATTCTCAAAGAAGAATTGTTACAGTACATATATAAAACGGCAAACATAAAAGAACCAAATAAAGTAGGAAACTTTCAAAAATTGAATCTTTAAATTTTATCAAAGCTTTCGCATTTCAATAAATGCTACCTTATCAAAAATGCATTAAGCATCGCATACTTCTTTTCAAAAATGTGATAAAATAAGTGCTTTATAAGATTTCGGACAAATTTTCTTGTATGCAAATTAGATAAATTGAAGCCTATAGCATAAGAAGTCGCCAAATGATCCCATTTGGCGTAACTGATTTTACATGTCATTACCCATAGTGCAGCCATCCAGGGACCATTTCGACGAACACAAAGGGAAATTACGGAAACTGAAAAAAACTGAGTTTATTTTTTTCCCCTTCTCCCGTTCGTTTTTATTTTTGTATTAGCAGTAAAAGTGATTAAATGTAAATAAACAGGCTCGCTGAAACGGATTAAAAGAATAATTACGTTGAAACGTTTTGTACATTTTAAAGAGTGCTATTATAACTGTTTTCGTTTGTTTTCTTTTTTTCCTCGGTCAAGAAAAATATCTTTCCAAAAAAAAAATTTAATTGAAAATGTGGGATAAAATATTTTTTTTTAATTAAGTAACATACAAAATATTATGTACTCAAAGGAATTAGGCAAAGAATTGTTTACATTTATATGAAAAATCCTTTAGCATAACATGTTTATTTTTTACTTGGTAGAAAAAAACCTAAAAAATTGAGAAATTTTTTTTTTTAACACCAACTGTTAATTAAAATAGAATAAATATATTATTATAACTTAAACAAATAATTTCAGTTTAGTTTTCAATTATGATAAACTTAAGTCCATCGTACAGTTGAATGTTATGTGGAATAACAACATCAAATAATGTTTTTTTTTCTGTATATGAACAAGTTCATGCTTTTTAAGATAAGCCAGACTAATTTAATTTAGAGATTTTTATGCGTTTTATAGCAATAAAACTTGTCACAAATCTTTTAAATTGCAAATAGATTTGAAACAGTATTTATATTTGATGCACTAGGAAAGGAAAAAAATCTTGAAATTATGATTAACTTTAGTCCATCGTACAATTTAATGTTATCTATACATAATAATAAACGCGGCTGTGTGTGTGTTTGTTTGTCTGTCTGTAATCACAATATATCGCCCCAGAAGCCTCGCCCAGGCACGAAACTCGGCACATAATTGTGTTTTGACATAATAAAGAAGTATTTTTTTCTTTTTCAAAACTTTGGATTAGTATTTTAGTTATCAGTCATTTTGTAGAAAATCTATGCTTTTTCGTCTTCAAAGAGCCATATTCAAAAAACTATTAAAAAACGCATATACTTTTCTCCACTCTTATAAATGTATGCTAATGCGAACCTTACAATTGAAATATTAATTTTCGACAACTTAAACCAATAATATACGAAGGAATTAATAATTTAATTGTAAGGTTCGCATTAGTTTACATTTATCAAAGTGGAGAAAAGTTTTACTTTTGTATTAAAAATGTGGCAACATATTCGATACGTAAATAGAACGTCGCTTCGCTTTGATATATTTGTCGCTGTTCATCTGGATATGAAGACAAAATTGCAGGACAGGAACACTTTAATTGTCCACTAATCTTCAGATTTCCTGCTATGTTTTAAAAAACTTTATTTGTGAAAACCTTTAGCGTGGCGGACAGCTGGCCGTCTTAGGCGGCTAGTGTGGAATAAATGACAATTGAAAGTAATTTTAGGATGCTTGATATAGGGTTTAAGTTTATGCCTCTAAAATAACCATTTACGAGCAGTTTGGGTTGATTAATAAATTAAAAGGAATGGCATAATGTTTAATCTTTATTTTAAAATTGAAGTTTCTTATGTTATTACAAACTAATTTAACGTGTTAATCACAAAAGGATCTGAGGATCAAATTTACGGAAATATGGAACGGAAATTTACGGTTATTACGGAAATTTACGGAAATATTACGTTTATTTTCCCACACTAAACAATCTATCTAATATGAACAGCTTCGGTGTAACAATGAGAAAAAAAATTAATGGAATAATTTTTTGATCCCATTTTCAAATGTTCATTTTTACAGCTCCACTAACAAGCAGTTTTTTTTTTTAAAAAATAACAATTTTCGAGAATGTGTTTAGGTATTTTATAAGAGGGATTTATATTATTTTGCCCCAAAAATTATCAATTTGAAGTAGATTTGGTGGATATTTAAAATAGTAATAAAATAAATATTGGTCGCAATTTCAAATGTTCCTTTTTACAGAAGTTTTACGAACATGTAGCAATGCAGATTAACAAGTTAATTATCGTTTTTTAAAAAAAGAAATATAAAGCTTTCAAGTATGTTCTATGATTTGTTATACCGGGCTTTAATATTATTTTGCCAATAGTAATCATCTTAGAATAGATTCTTTTGATAACTAAAATGGTGGATATTTAAAATAGCAATTTAATAATGTTTGATCTAAATTTCAAAAGTGAATTTGTTTAACATCGCTAAAAAATCACAGCAAATTTTAATCTATTCACAAAATGGACAGTTAGGTACTTTATTTATGTCGCACTAGAGCTGCACAATTGGCTATTGGCGACGTTCTGGGAAACATCCCTGGGGATGATCCGAAAGCACACCATCAAAATTTCGATCACCTGAAGTGGGAATATCATTTGTGAGGCCACTTCCTCAATTTAGACTTAGATCTAAAGGGGAAGGAAATTTTCTCCTGATCCCCGTAACTATGGCACTGCTCAGTGACCGACAACAAGACTTTCGACTCCATAGATTTTACTAACATGTACTTGATGAGTCCGAGGATCGAACCCGGGCTCTTCTAGACCGGTGTCGGATTATCTAACCACTGAACTACCACTCACAAGAAAACAATTCATCAAAAATTTACAAATTTATGAAATTCAGTGAGATCCAAAATTTAATTATTAATTTTTTTTTTTGTGTTCAGTGACACAGGGTCGATTGTGATCCCAACTCAAAAATTCTGAAAATTTCTTGAGTAAAATCATCAATGACGCATTTCAAAAAATTAATGTCTTTGTAAATTGAAATAATTGCTATTTTCAAAACATGAAATTTAAAATAAATTATAAGCAGCATAATTTAAATGAATAATTATGTATAAGTTTACTTTTATCACTAATTACACTTATTATTATTAAACACCTAACTACAATAGTAATAAATAAATAAATAATAAATAAATAAATAATAATGATAACAAGGGCGCCGGCAGAATAATGTAAAAGGGGGTGCAACCCTCTAACAAACTACCCCCCCCCCAAAAAAAAACAAATTTACAAATATTCTGTTATTACTGTTTTGTTATTACTTATATAATCTTACCTATTACAATCTGTTAATTTTTTTCAACATACATTTTTTCATTGTTAACAAGATATTTAAAAAAAAGTGCGAATTTCTTGTACTTGCAAATTTTGCCACGAGAAACTATTGATGGCGCTGTCATAGCTACTGACTTTGAAACACAAATAACTACAAACAGTAGTTTCGTATACTAACGTGTTTGTGCACGCTTAAGATTTGTATTTGTTGTGTTGAATTTGTAGTGTTTGATTTGTTATTGAGCTTTAGAAGATTATATATATATATATATATATATATGCTATGTGTAAAGATCTGCTCTTACCGAAATTCATCACTGAAGCTACAGCGTGGTACGAAATGTGGTGGAATAGAGAAAATTCTTATGAATCCCTTGAATACATCGATTTGGTAATTGAGGGCACACCGTTTTATCCAGCTGTAGCGGAGGCTATCAAAATTGGCCTAACTCCTCCAGCTACTACGTGCACTATTGAACTCACTTTTAGTACAATGCGACGCATCAAAACATGGAATCGGTCTACAATGTCTCACGAGAAATTAAGTAATTTGTGCATGCTCAATGTGCATAAGAAAAGATTCAAAGATGACTCAGAATTCATTGAAAAAGTTATAAACAGATTTGGACAGCAAACAAGACGATTACTATTCTTGTTTGATTAAAAAAAATTTTAATTGTTATGTATCAATAATTATTTAATTACTTGTTTTTGAATAAAAATATTTTTAATAAAAATTTTTTATAACAAAATAGTTTTTCTGTATCTGCTTAATTGTTTAGAAAAAAAAAGCCAGAGGGGTGCAAGTGCACCTCCTTGCACCCCCCTGCCGGCGCCCTTGAATGATAATAAACGATTCATTAATTGAATAAAGCATGTTTCATCTACAATTAAATTGTATGTTTGATTCAATATTTATGATGCGTAGTCATAACTTTGCACGCGCTAGTAATAGTATAAATAAACAAATTAATAAAATAATCGACTGCGGAAACAAATTATAACGAAAACGAGAAAGTTAGTGCTAAGCGATATTCTATTGACTAAAACAAATAATTAAAGACGGATCTGTTTATACTGCTGGCAGCTTGACAACAAAGAATGAGAAAGTGTTTCGGAAAAAAATATCAAAGATAAATTAATAAATAAAATAACACAATTAAGTTCAAATAAAAAAATATCGTTTGCCAATATAAGTTCTTAGCATAACTTGTAATGAAACATGACTTCAAATTTCTGGACCTTGGAACTCCGGATCGAGGTCAATCAAAAATCCGGATTTCTTTCCGGAACACAATCATCTCTGGTACATGTAATGAAAATTTAAACCTAAATAAATAATAGTTGGTTGAAAAAAACGCATAGCATACTGTGAACTTTTAGTCGGACGACTTTGCTGAGCCCCTGGCCTATTCCATTCGAAGCCTGACACAAATAATAACCCGCATCAGATTCTGTAGCGTCTGTTATTGATAGAGATCCATTCTCGAAAACCTGGAGGTGAGGGCTGCTCACTATGGATTTGTAATCTCGAGGACTATCGCCTAAAAAAGATAAATTATAAATATAATTAATATATAATCCCATATAAACTAATTTTAATGCTTTGAATATAGCTACAGTCCCTGGCAAAATTATTGGACGCTCTATAAGATTCTATGTAAAATCTTAATTATCAGGTGATACTATACGGCTGTATTGTTTTTATGTATGTGAAACCGGTTTGCACTTGTTTACGTTCGCGTATCAATTGGCTAAACTAGACGATATATAATATAAATTCGGCGATTGGATAAATTAGACGATATATTATATAACTATAGAATATTTATTATATCAGGTATTGTATTAGTATATTATAATAATTAGACCAAATTATTGGACGCACAGTTTCTTAATAATTAATGTTTCACATGAGTTTATGGGCAATACTTTTATATTTAAGCATACATGTAATGGTTTTTTATTCAAGAGATTTTTTATATATTTCCCAATTGTATTTATTTTTAACGTATTGCATTACAATGTTAACCAATTGATACACGAACGTAAACAAGTGTAAACCGGTTTCAGTAGCGTAAAAACAATAAAGCTGTATAGTATTACTCGATAATTAAGATTTTACATAGAATCTTGAAGTGCTTCGAATAATTTGGCTAGGGGCTGCATACACTATTTAATTATATCTTGATTAATCGTATTAATAATAGTAAGAACGAATTTACTACTATATAAAAAAAGAACATCTTAGCTAATAGTCCTAAATAAAAAAATTAAACAATGAAATGGTACACTTCATTAAAAAATTAAATAAATTGCTTGGAATCAACATTCCAGCTATACTCTGAATTAGAACTAGTCCTTATTGTCTTTTTTATCATCCTGCAAGTTGAATCCCTTAATTTTTTTTTTAACAGCATTTCAAATTTCAGTTTATGTTCTTTTGCTTCTTTAAAAGTAGAAAAGATTAAGTTTCAGAATTGTTTTTCCGAAAGAGAAACATGAGATTTCTTTCATTTCTTGTTTCGATCAAATTGTTTTTTTGTTTTTCTTTATTGTTTTTAAAATTGATTAAGGAGTAGAAAAAATTAAAGTAGGTTAGTTGAAAAAAAAATCATAACATTTGTAATTGAAAGAAAAAACACTTATTTTAACCAGGTTATTTCGGAAATTCTCAAAAAACGTAGGTTTTATAACTCGATTGTAAGATCGTAATCTTGGCGATGAAATCGTAATACTTAACGGATAAATCGTAATAGTTGGCACCATTGTTAAACGACAGCAAATTAAGGATGTTTTTCAAAAGCACTAAAGATAGAAAGCTTAAATTTAAGCTTCTTTAACACGAAACAAAGCTATTATTTTAAACTAAATATACCATTTAGCTTTAAAGATTTAGATTGGTTAAGTAGCCTATTTATTTGAAAAGCTAAAAAACTTTTTTTTAAAATCGCGAATTTGGCGGCATTTATTTTTACTGAGATAAAATCCATTTATATCGGTGAATAATTTTCCCATTCTACGAATTTTTAACCGGAAAAAAATTCTAAAAAAAAATTACCGTACTGGTATGGCAAAGACAGTTCTGGTAAAAGAAACAAAAATTAGGTAACTAAACCAAAATATGCAGTTAAACTGGATATTTTGGTTTGGCAGTTTAACTGTAACTGTGTAACAGTTAAACTGCTGATTTAGTTTTGCCTTATCCAGGTAATTGTACATTTATAAATTCACATTTTTTATAGTTTAAAAAGGTTTGTAGATGTCAACATATAGATTACATCAGAAAAAAAGCAGTTAATCGACGAGAAGCAAGGTTAACAAGTGTTTACTAACTAAAATAGAGGTTATCAAACTGAACATTTTCGCGTCAACTCAAACAATATACCGGTACTGTTAAAATTAACAACTTTTGGATAAAATTACTAAGTTTTACAACATTTACTACCAAACAGAAAGGTAATAAAAACCATATTTTATGGTTAATTTTCCCAAAAATTATTCATTAGCAAAGCATTTCTTTAAAAATCACAGTGTGTTTTGGTCTTCTCTGAGAGTTTGAATGTTAAGCATATAGGTATAGGATTAGGAGTCCAAGTAGTAGTTCGCGAATAAGAAATAAAGTCATATCTTGATCTTTATTTCTCACTGTCAACACATAAACTTTAAAGCTAATTTACCCAATTTTTTTAAAAATTTAACTTAGAACGTTTAACAGCTCAGTTCTTCAAATAATGGTTTATCTATTAATTTATCAATGAAAATTAAAAGGAATCTAAATACAATAATTAATCACGAACTTGGAAACGCACTTTTGGATGCATAAAATATACAGTTTTGAGTTACATATAGAATATTATACTATAAAAAAAATGGCAGCTTGTATGCTTTTTCTAGTACATGCACAAAATTTTGTCAAAAGTTTTATGTTTATTTGGCATACTATTTATTTACTGAATTTCATTTATATAGAACTCAATTTCCTTCTTCAAAGTATCACCGTTTGTCAGGATAATCATAAGTCATAAAAAGAAAAAATTCTAACAAAATTAAATCGCATGATTTGTGTCACCATTTTGGATCTAAAAGGAAAAATCCTTCACTGCTCAACACTTAAAACGCGGTTTATTTTTATATAGTGCTCTTTTCTATAACATTGAACTGTCAATTGTTCTGTTGTCTTTTTTTTCGTAAGAAGCATTTTAATTTTTATTGGTAAATGGCATGGGGCTTACTTCGTTTGTGAAATTTAGGACACTATAAAACGATCTAATGTCAAAATACCTCATAAAAATTTTAAATAAAACAAATAATGATGAATGAGAAAAATCTATAGGAATGCAGTGTTTCTTACAGTTCCATAAATAAATGCTCGTTACTATTTCTGAGTACCAGAGAAAAATATTTTAAAACAAGTTAAATAAATAGTTAATTTTTTTCTTCTTTGAAGAGCTAACAAAAGACTAAATTTAATTTAAAAGTAACTATTTTTAATGATTTTATATTTTGTTTTCTAAACTATTTTGACATTAATCGAACAGGAAGGAAGACAAGGAACAATTATTGAATTACTGAAATGTAATTATTTGCTTTTGCCAAACGAAGGAAATATAAAATGAAAAAAAAGTACAATTTTTTACTTAAGTATTAACAATAAAGGGCATTTTAGATATATGAAAATAAATTAAGTTAGTTTAGCTTTTTTGAGAGTTTTTTTCATCGCTTAGCTGTAAATGAATTTTTTTCTGCTGTGCGTGTTCTTAGACAAAACGAAAAAATGAAAGGAATAGAACATGGAACAAAATGTTTCGTAATTCATAAGAGACTTACAAATTTAGAAAATTAGTTTCTGGTTAACAATATGTTTGAAGTATTTTAAACTATTAAGTTTATGTACGTTTTTCATTTGTGTTTTATTTAAATAAAATGATTTTTTGTTATAATAACAAGGTTTTTTTGCTGTGAGTGTTTTAAACAAAATGATTAAATAAATGAAAGAACGGGGTACAAAAATTTTGTGTAATTCACAAGAGACTTACGCATTTAGGAAATTATATTCATATTAATGATAAACTTTCATTTATTATTAACATTTTAAGTTACGAAATCAGGCACAAAAACGTACTTTCTCTGAATAAATATAAATTTTTTTCTACGGATTTAGAATTCTGATCCCCTAAATATAGGGGATAGCCGTAATCTGGGTAGTAGCCGTAATTATGGTCCCAGGTATATGGGAATTATGGTACAGTTTTGTCAGGAGAGCGGTCCGAAGTTTCGATCCCTTAATGTTAAATTGACTTTTTTCGTCAAATTATTTCGTATCATTATTTCGTCAAACTTTTTCCGTCAAATTTATTTCGTCAAATCGCGAGCACTTTTTAAGAGAACTGAAACTTTTTTACACGCATTTATTCAGAGCTATCAAGAGTTCTTGACATCAGGAGATCTCAATTGTCAGTTGGAGTTCAACAGAGCTAATTGAACGATGCGTAAAGATACACTATCGGGCGAAAATCCGGACATCCGGTTGAAACATAATGGTGACGGGGTGTTTCTAGTGGTTTGGCCAATGTTCGTTAGTTTCTGTGGTTGGAAACATGAACTGTGAGATGTATTGTGGACATTCTGGACAATGCGGCACTCACAACTCTATAGCAATATTTCGGGGAAGGCCCATTTCTCTTCCTGCAGGATAACTGCTCCATTCACAAATCGAGCCTTGCACAGACGTGGTTTGACGAAATGGGTGTTCCAAAATTGGACGAGCCTTCTCAGATCTAAATCCCATGGAACACTTTTGGGACGGTATAGAGAGCAAATTACGTAGCCAGGCAAATCGAACATCCTCACTGCAAGCACTCACTTCTGCTGCGATGGAAGCCTGATGGAAGTTAATTCCTATAGCCACCTATCAAAATCTGGTGGAAAGTCTTCCCATATAAGTGCAGGATGTACGCAGACTGCAAAAGAGGGACCATTGATATGTACTTCAAGACGCTCTAAATCCATACCATTGGGTGTCCGGATATTTTTGTCCGGATAGTGTATATAGAGTTATATTTATGCAAACATCAGCCTATAAATAGCCTAAATCAGGCTATATATAACAATATTTCACTTTTTCTTATATTCTTTGTACGTTTTTCATTTAAGAGAGAGCCCCTCTTTCTAAAAATTTTGACTACACCTGCACTAAATCAACAAGAATTATTTAGCGACAGGCAGAATGAGACAGAAGAATACAGTCCCTGAAAAAATTATTAGACGCACTATAAGATTCTATATATAATCTTAACTATCAGGTGATACTATACAGCTCTATTGCTTTTAAGCGACTGAAACCGGCTTATGCTTGTTTACGTTCGTGTATCAATTAGTTAACATTGTAATGCAATACGTTAAAAATAAATGCAAATAGGAAGCATATAAAAAATCTCCCTAATAAAAACCCATTACATGTANCCTCTTCCTAAAAATTTTGACTACACCTGCCCTAAATCAACAAGAATTATTTAGCGACAGGCAGAATGAGACAGAAGAATTCAGTCATGGAAAAAATTATTAGACGCACTATAAGATTCTATATAAAATCTTAATTATCAGGTGATACTATACAGCTTTATTGTTTTTATGTGACTGAAACAGATTTATACTTGTTTACGTTCGTGTATCAATTGGTTCACATCGTAATGCAATACGTTTAAAATAAATGCAAATAGGAAGTATATAAAAAATTTCCCAAATAAAAACCCATTACATGTATGTTTAAATACAAAAGTATTGCCTATAAACTCGTGCAAAACACGTAATTATTAAAACAGAACAGTGCGTCTAATAATTTGGTCTAATTATTATAATATACTAATATAATACCTGATATAATAAACATTCTATATTTATATAATAAATCGTCTCATTTATCCAATCGTGGAATTTATATTATATATCGTCAAATTTAACTAATTGATACACGAACGTAAACAAGTGCAAAACGGTTTCAGTCGCATAGAAACAATACAGCTGTATAGTATCATCTGATAATTAAGATTTCATATAGAATCTTATAGTGCGTCTAATGAGGGACTGTAGCACAAAAACACAAAACGGATTGTGACTTCATTACAAGTGCTTCATTAATATTCTTTTTCCGAAATTTCTGTTCTTTATCTGATTATAGTTCTCACCTTCAGCCTTTGTCCATCGCACTCGAGGTTGCGGGAAGCCTTCCGTCTGACAATCAACGACAATGTTTTTTCCCTTCACAACAAATACGTCAGAAGGCTCAATGACCCATCTTGGAGGAACTGAAAGAAAAATATAACACATGTAGAATCAATTAAACACAATAGAATGCATTAGAATAACAATAAAAATGTTGGATATGTTACAGAAAGGAATCATTTCGTTTGGATGAATGTTGTCTTTCATTAGAATAGTCCTGGAGAAAACAATGTTACGTAAAACGCATGCATGTGGTCACAAAAACGGTGAAATTTCTTTTCTCGCTTCGGCAATGGAAAGCAAAAACAAGATGGTTGCGTAGAAATAAGAATTTAAAAAGGGAACTGCTCATTTAAATAAAATAAATTTTTAATCGATTTAATGTCTAAAATTGGTTTAATGTCTATTATTTACGCAGATTACATAATCATTTCAAGCGTTATTTTTAATAATGAATTGGTCGGACAGTACCTGAAAAATCAAATTTTAAAAAATACATAGTTAAAATTTGATTTCTCAGGAACTATTCAACCGAAAGTGAGTGTATTTTTAACATTGCGAGAGCAGTCTACTTATTTTATTAGTCTATGGTTGGTACCCATTGATTTGAAGTTGAGTGGGATAAAAAATCGAGCCCTTCATAACCTCTGTGAGTGTGAATTTACTAATGCGAGAGCAGTCTACTTATTTTATTAGTCTATGGTTGGTACCCATTGATTTGAAGTTGAGTGGGATAAAAAATCGAGCCCTTCATAACCTCTGTGAGTATGATTTTACTAATGCGAGAGCAGTCTACTTATTTCATTAGTCTATGGCTGGTACCCATTGATTTGAGGTTGAGTGGGATAAAAAATCGAGCCCTTCATAACCTCTGAGAGTGTGATTTTACTAATGCGAGAGCAGTCTACTTATTTTATTAGTCTATGGCTGGTACCCATTGATTTGAAGTTGAGTGAAATGAAAAATCGAAAATGACGCTAAATCCTCGAAAATGAGACAAATTTCATATATTATATAATTTAGTTATTCAGAAAATAATTGTTTTCCTTTTGACTTAGTAGTGATCTGCATGAAGCTTTTCAATTTATATTTACTGTATATTTAAAAATAATGGAGTCAAAAAGACGGGTATAGTCAAGAACATGCCTTGGTGCGTATTGCGAAATTTATGACAGCGTAGTAGACACGTGAAATCTCGTTGTATTATGAGCATTCGATTTTAGATCTCATCATCATCATGTCTGGCTAGACAGCCCAGGGTGGGCCAGTGCCTTCCTTTGAATTCGAATCCACATCTCTCTACTTTTGACACTTGTTCGCCAGTTTTTCTCCTTTAGAGTAAGGAAATCAGTCTCAACTAAATCCAACCATCTCAGCCTGGGTCTACCTCTTTTCCTGTTCGTTAGGGGTTTGTGTAACAGGATTTTTTTTAAATTTGAGTCATCATTCCTTCTGAAAATGTGAGCTGCCCNGAAAACTTTAAAAAATGTATTAAAATGCAAAATACGCCCCTAAATTTAAAGAAAAATGCCCTATAAATCTAAAAAAATGCTCTAAAAGACAAAAAATGCCCAAAAATGCAAAAAAATGCAAATGTCATCAAAATCCGGGCCTTAATTATGAGCATTCGATTTTAGATCTATTCAGAAATATTTTTATGCATATTTTAATGAATTGTTTTATATCAAGATACAAACATACATTTATCAACTTTAATTTCTTCGTTTTTCTAATAATTTTGACATTTCACCCACAAGAATCAATTATTTTTATAGTTAATGTTAGATTCTTTTCAGTACTTATTTATTTAACGCGGTTTGAATAATTAAAATAGTTTTGAAACTGAGATTTTTTGCAATAATTCATTGGTAGGCATTGCTATTTCATTGTAAAAAGACTTTGTAGTTTTTAAAATCAATTTTTTCTTCTAAATAATTATCAAATCCATTTATTATTACATTTAAATAGACCACAATATCATGTTTGTTCTTACTTAAGGTGCACTTTAACATTTTAAATACGCATATTATTTTACTTAACTAAATTCTGAGTTCCACTTATACATACATAAAGTTATTAGCTGTATAATTCATATTTTGTTTATCCTATCATGACTTATGTTAGTAAAATAGAAATTAGGGGCTGTAAAATATTTTTCTTGTTATATTCTTTTATACTTCAGTAGTGAAGAGGATATTAACAGCTAAGTACCTTTTAATCTGAGTCATCGTGCCTCTAGATTCATGGAGTCAGTTGAAATTTTACAGAAAAAATGCAAAAAAAACAAAACAAAACTACCTAAGATAGTTTTACTATAATACCATTTTATAATATTTGAGCAATAAATACGTCATCTTTGATACACTACTCCTGTAATAGATTATATATTTCAAATTAAGGTAATTGAAAAGAATAAAGCTCTATAGTTAGATAATTAAATTATGTCTCATTAAGAAGCTTAATAAAATCTCGAAGCTACGCATTAATTGAGAATTTTAATTTACACTGATTACATTTGATTAAAAATGAAATTTACATCAGTTGAAAATTTATAGAAAAAATGCAGAACAAACTACCTAAGATTGTTTTACTTTAATACTATTTTACAATATTTAAGAAATAAATACGTCATCTTTGATACGCTACTCCTGTAATAGATTATATTATATTTCAAACTAAGGTAATTGAAAAGAATCTAAAGTTCTATAGTCAGATAATTAAATTATGTATCATTAAGAAGCTTAAAAAAATCTCGAGGCTACGCTTTGTTTGAGAGTTTTCATTTACAATGATTACATTTGATTAAAAATGAAATTTATATTAGTCAGTTGAAAATGTATAGAAAAAACGCGGAACAAACTACCTAAGATTCTTTTACTATAATACCATTTTATAATATTTGAGCAATAAATATGTCATCTTTGATACGCTACTTCTGTAATAGATTATATTACATTTCAAATTAAGGTAATTGAAAAGAATAAAAGCTCTATAGTTAGGTAATTAAATTATATATCATTAAGAAGCTTAATAAAATCTCGAAGCTATGCTTTGTTTGAGAATTTTCATTTACGCTGATTACATTTGATTAAAAATGAAATTTACATAAGATTAATTAAGTACAGAACTCCTGTTTTATAAGCAAGTACTAATTTTTTTCTTAGATCGAAATCTCTAATGCATATATTGAGCGCGAATTCTTCAAATAACTTTTTCGAAGGAAAATGACTATGTTATGCAAACTTTCAGAAAAATGCCAGTTACGACTAAATAGATTGAGAAAATAATTCAAGAGTTTCATAAACACCTAAAGAACAACAATGTGTAAATTACTTTTTCGATATTTAAAAATGAGAAATTCCAACTATTTGCATTCATTGATTTTCCAACAATGACTTAAGGATTTAGAAATAACTTTTGAATTAACTAAATGAAAAACTTATTGATTTCCTTAAGCTAATGTATCAGGAAGGAAAATACTGTTAAAAAATAAGTTTTCAGTTAGGAGTAATAATAAGTTTTAATGTTAGGAATTATAATTTCGTAAAGCAACGGGAATTTTTAATATATTTGAAGTATTAATAATGGAATATATAATACAATATATAATATAATATATAATATAGTTAAAAGTTTAATTAAAACACACTAATATAGCATTTAAAACTTAATAATGCATTAAAAGATAATGGCAAAAATTTTGATGAGGAAATTGAAACTTACTTAACTTACTTAACTTAAATAAACTACACTTAATAAACTACTTAATAACTTAGAAACTTAAATAAACTACACGAGTAATAGTCTATTATTGAGCTATTAAAACAAAGTCTATGATTTAGAAACTATATTAGTAATATATATGAAAAAAAAACAAGAATATTGTTTTCTAATTTTATAATCACGTTTCCACTTAATACAAGAATAAAATTTTTTTATGCTATTGATCTTATACTATCTGGTCAAAACTATGCGGTATTACTAATTAGGTACTACTAATTACTCGGGGTTATTACTAATTCTATTTTATTTTATAACCGTCGTTGAACAGCCGGGCCAATTTTTATGGGTTTACGACTATTATTTTTCAACTCCGTAGCCTTGTAATTTTGAACTCAATCCAAAAGACAAGGGACCTCCTGGATCGTGTATTGGGAGAAATTTGCCTTCGTGGAGGACTTTTTGATGGAGCAAACCCGCATTTGCTTTACAAGGAGAGGAAGAAAACGAGAACCTCCCACGATTAGCCTGGCGGCAAGGGGACTCTAACCCATGATCCGTCTACCACTGAGGATATTTCACGTCAGCACTGTGGTCGGTGCAAGCCGGATGCGGAATTCGTATCGACTGGGATTCGAACCCGGTTCGTCTCATTGGAAGTAGTAACACCCACTACTACTAACTAGGAGGCATATATTAATATGATGCAGGTACTCTTTTTGTGTCGATGGCAGCCTGTATATGCCCTGCCCGGGGAGAATTTCCACCACTTTTTGAATAGTGGTCATACAAGTTAACTTTATGACATCCATCTCAGCTGAAATGAGAGCGGTCAGGGATGATGGTCAATTTGGCTGGCTACGTAATCTGCGTTTTAATTTGTCCCAAAAGTGTTCTATGGAAATCAGGGCATTGAGAAGGCCAGTTTAGTTTCTGAACACATATTTCATCAAACCTTCTTCTTTTACAGCGCAACAGCCTCTTGCAGACCTTAGCTGCCTCAACAACTGACAAACGCCAGCGTCACCTATCCATGACAACTCCCATCCAATTTCTAATATTTAGGGATTTCAGGTCATTTTCGATGTCGTTGAGCCATCTAGTAGGAGGTCTGCCTCTAAGACGTGAACCCTCGGAGTTCTTAAAGGTGACGATTCTCATGGCGCTATTTTCCGAGCTTCTCCATAGATGGCCCAGCCATCTCAGCCTATTACTGAGGACTATTTGAGTAATTTGGGGCTGCTTATAGAGACGGTAGATCTCGAAGTTGCAACTGGTTCGCCAGCATCCCTTTTCTTGAATCGCGCCAAAGATGGCTCTAAGGATCTTCTTTCGAAGGTGATCAGTGACCCCTGCATATCTG